CAAAACAATCTTGAAAAAGAAGAACAAAGTTGGAGGACTTATCTTTACCAATTTCAAAACTTACTATAAAAAAATAGTAATTGAAGGCAGTGTGATACTGGCATGTTGTTGTTGTTGTTATATGCTTTCCAATTGGACCTGACTCACAGAAAGCCCTCCTTGGGTTTCTGAGGTGGTATCACTACAGAAATAGATTGCCCAACCTTCCTTCCAAGGATTGGCTGGTGGGTTTGAACCGCCAGCCTTCTGGTTAGCAGTCAAGTGCCTTAGGCACTGTGCTACCAGAGCTCCTGATACTAGCATAAGGCTAGACATATAGATCAATGGAGTAGAACTGACAGCTCAGAAACAAACCTTTACACTTATGGTTGCCAAGATATGGGGAAACAATAGTCCTTCAACAAATAGCACTGGAAAAACTGGATATCCACAGGCAGAAGAATGAAATTGGATTCTTATCTCATACCATACACAAAAATTAACTTAGAGTGGATCAAAGACTTATGTGTAGGAGCTAAACTATAAAACCCTTAATAGAAAACATAGGTGTCTTTCTGAACTTGAATTAGGCAATAGTTTCTTAAATGTGATGCCAAAAGCACAAGCAACAAAATAAAAAGGGAAATTTGACTTCATAAAAATTTAAAACTTTTGTGTTTCAAAAGATACTATTGACACTGAAAGAAAACCCACAGAATGGGAGAAAATATTTGCAAATCATGTATTTGATAAAGGTCTAGGATCTATTATCCAGGATGTAATAATTTCTATAACTCAACAACAAAACACAAATAACCTAACTGAAAAATGTGCAAAGAATTTGAACAGACAGTTCTTTTATTCAGAAGACATACAAATGGCCAATGAGCACAGAAAAAGATGTGCAATATCCAAACCACAATGAGATATCACTTCACATTTTCTAGGATAGCTATAATCAAGATATAAAAACAAGTGTTGGCAAGAATGTGGAGAAAGTGGAACCCTCAGTCACTGCTGGTCAAACCAAAAACCAAATGCACTGCTATCGAATTGATTCGACTCATAGCGACCCCTCCTTTCCAAGGTAGTATCTATACGGAAGTAGATTGCCCAATCTTCCTTCCCAGAAGTGGCTGGTGGGTTTGAACTGCCAGCCTTCTAGTTAGCAGTCAGATGCCTTCAGCACTACACCACCAGAGCTCCTGTTGAGTTATAAGAATTACACTACTGGTGGGAATGTAAAATGGTAAGATGGCTTTGGGAAACAGTTTGGTAATTCCTCAAAACATTAAACAAAGAGTTATTATATAACCCAGCAATTCTCCTCCTAGCCTTATCCAAAAAAACCAAAACCAAACTCACTGCCATTGTGTTGATTTCGACTCATAGCAACCCCTCCCCGGGTTTCTGAGGTGGTATCTCTAAAGAAGTAGATTGCCCAATCTTCCTTCCAAGGAGTGGCTGGTGGGTTTGCACCACCAGTCTTCTGGTTAGCAGTCAAATGCCTTAGGCATTACACCATCAGAGCTCAAGAGAATTGAAAACACGTCCACACAAAAACTTGTACATATATGTTAATAACAGCATTATTTATACTAGTCAGAAAGTGAAAAGAACTCAACTGTCCATCAATTGATGAATAGCTAAAACAAAATGTAATACATCTGGCACAATGAAATATTATTCATCCATAAAAAGGAATGAAGCATTGATACATGCTCTGACATGAAGGAACTCTGAAAACTTTATGCTAAATGAAAGGACTGGACACAAAAGGCCACATATTGTATAATTCCATTTATATCCAAAATAGGCAAGTTCATAGAAACAGTAAGCAGACTAAGAGTTGTTATGGGACAGAGGGAGAAGGAAATGGGGAATTACTGCTGGTGGGCATGGGGTTTCTTTTGGAGTGATAAAAATATTCTGGAATTAGATACTAGGAATGGTTACACAACCTTGTGAATATAATAAAACGACTGAATCATATACTTTAAAAGGGTAAATTTTAGCATTTGTGAATTACTTCAATTAAAAAATACAAATGACAAATTGGGTAATAATATTTGCAACATATAGTATACCTAAGTCATCTGACTGTTAACCAGAAAGCTGGCAGTTCAAACCCACCAGCTATCCCTCAGAAGGAAGATTGGGTAACCTACTTCCATAGAGATACTGCTCTGGAAACCCAAGGAGGGGTCACTATGAGTAGAATAGGCTCAATGACAGTGAGTATAATAAATAAAGGGATAGAAATATATTTCAAACCAAAAACCAAACTCATTGCTGTTGAGTCGGACCCAACTCATAGTGACCCCTCCTTGGTTTCCAAGGCGATATCACTATGGAAGTAGATTGCCCAACCTTACTTCCGAGGAGTGGCTGGTGAGTTTGAACTGCTAGTCTTCTGGGTAAGAACCTTTATAACTAAAAGAAAACAAGACCAAAATCCTATTAAAAAATCGCCAAATGGTATGAATAGGCAATTCATAAAAAAAAATATTAAAAAAGGCTCTTGATCATATAAGAAGACCTTTAAGTCTATTTTAAATAAGAAAGAGATACAAATTAGAACTATACTGAGGTGACATTTTTCAGCCATCAGATTGGAACTAATCCAAAACCTTGATAATATACTCTGTTAGAACAGGGTTTGGGAAAACACGCAGTCTCATACATTGCTAGTGGAAAGACAAATGGTACAAGTCAAATGAAAGGCAATTTGGCAATATCTAACAAAACTAATGCATGCTCTCTTTGACCTACAGCCCCACTTCCAGGAATTTACTCTGGAAGATACAACTCCAACAATATGAAAATACATATAAATATAAGATTATTCATTGTAACATTATGTCATCACAAAATATTGGAACTATCTCAATATTGGACTATGTCACTTATTGGTTGTGTAGTCTTAGGGGAAAAAATCACTCAAGCTACTAATTCTTGATTTCCTTATCTATAAAATGAAAATAACAATACATCATGGGTAGTAATAATGATTTAAAGAGATAATCCAGATAAAATGAGAATATGGGATTCTCTAACATAACCCCCACCACTCCTGAATTAATTCCAACTCATAGCAACTACAGAACAGAGTAAAACTGCCCCATAGAACTTAAGGCTGCAAGTCTTTAAGGAAGCAGATTGCCTTGACTTTCTCCCATGGAGCAGCTGGTGGGTTTGAACTACTAACTTTTTGTTTAGCAGCTGAATGGTTTAATCACTGCACCACCAGAGTTCCTATACTATAATATAGCAGTTATTATATTTTACTTGAAATAGCAGGAAGGTTTTAGCCTATTTTTTATACTTTTAATAGAGAAAAATTTTCAGAAAAAAAGGTATTAGTGCATGATATAATACAAAGACATCAAACTCACTGAAAATTCCTATGATGCAGAGTAGCAGCTAACAGATGACAACCCTAAGTGGCAGGAGATGAAGAAGTTAGAAGGTATTAGAAAAATTCCTAATTATTTTGATAATAAAAACACTAAGTAAATAAATACCAATGATTAAGAAATTTTATTTGGGAAATAATACTTAAATTATACGTATCAAAAAAAAAAAAAAAAAAACACACCTCACTGCTGTCAAGTCAGTTCCAACTCATAGTGACCCTTCCTTGGGTTTCCAAGATGGTATCTCTATGGAAGTACATTGCTCAATCTTCCTTCCGAGGAGTGGTTGGTGGGTTTGAACCACCCAGTGGTGCAGTGAATTACTTAATATGGCTCTTCTAGCCATAGTCTTTGGGAGCTCTGGTAGCATAGTGCCTAAGGCACTTGACTGCTAACCAGAAGCCTGGTGGTTCAAACCCACCAGCCACTCCTCGGAAAGAAGATGGGGCATTCTACTTCTGTAGTGATACTGCCTCAGAAAACCAAGGAGGGGTCACTATGAGTCAGGTCCAACTCAATGGTACATAACAACAACAACAGCCATCGTCTTTATGACTCTCACCAGATGACTAGGTGGGACTATGCAAAAGAACAACAACAGCCACAGTCTTTAGACTCCCACCAGATGACTAGGTGGGACTATACAAAAGTAAGGTGCTTGTGGCCCATCAAGGGGATTGGGTATTTTGCGAATAATGTAGATAAGGCACATGGCACTCTTATGGGGATGAGACTATCCAAATAATATGTATGGAACCCTAACATGGGGAACAGTTAGTTTTGCCATCCCACTAGGCTTAAAATGAGTCATCCCAGAGGCAGAAAGGGATGGCAATCAAAAGAAAGATCTGGGAGTTGAGTGTGTCCTTGGACCTGAGATCCTTAAGTTGAGATGGCAGAGGAAGACGGCAGAGAGAGATGGCAGAGAGACAGTGGCAGCAGAGGCATAGCTAAAAGAGCTTTGTAACTTGCCAGAGCAGGACAGAGGCCAGGACGAGGGGCTGAGGGCCAGAGAGAAACATGCCTGTGGCACAGCTAAAGGGAGGCTGCCCTGATCGAAGAATTGTATCCTGAGCATTCCTGAACCTGAATTGTAACCTGTACTTCCCTAATAAGCCACATAATCAGAGTCTGTGAGTTTATGTGTGGCCATTGTAATGAATTATTGAACCTAGCAGAGAAGTAGAGAGTGCCACGGAAGAGACGGTCGGTATCAAAATTGGTAGAAAGATTGGAGGGTGGTGACATGTCTGACCTCCTCCTCATAGGAACCAGTCTTGGGCTGTCGATGCTGATGGTGATTCTGTCTTCCCTTCTTGAAATTAGAGGAAGTTGGAGGACACTGTCCCACACTCTTATTTTGGAACTCCCTTTAGAGAATCTTGTGCTTTCATGGAATGTGCACCTGGTAAGAGGGAGACCTGTTTCCAACATTCACTTGGTTATCTAATAAGCAAGTGTTTATTAAGTATCTACCCTAGGCCAAGTGCTCTACTCATTTACAACAAATAACAAAGCAAGGCATTTTCAGAGTTGCTAGTCTACTTGTGCTTATGAAAAGCACCATGTCTAGAGAAGTTTGGTGGACAGTACATTGCACCTTACCTGTAACAAATGATCAATACATGAGTCGTGAAATCCCAAGGCTTGTTCTACACCTGCTAGTTCCCTCAGTATTGGAACACACTCAAGACTTTTTTCACCTTTACTGCTCTCAGTATATTCCAGTGCCTCTTGATAATGGGGCAGAGCTTCTTCTGATTTTTTCTGACCTTGATATAATCTAAAAAAAAAAAAAATTATCTTTTAAATATTAAAATAGAAAATATTGAAATTATAGGTGCTTTGGTTGTTAGGACTTGGCTATCTAACCACTATTGTCCAGACTCATTTCCTAGACAGCTAAGCCTTTCCTCCAAGAGGGAGTAAGGCACACAGTGGTTAAGAGAACAAATTCTAGAGTCACATCACTTGGGTTCAAATCCCAGCTCCACCACTGACTAGATATATGATCTTCAAATCACTTGTAGTTTCTTCATCAGATAGTTAAAGATAATAACAATGCCCATTTTATTAGGTTAGTATGAGGACTAAATTAGTTAATATTTACAAAAACATTGTGATGGTTAATTTGATGTGTCAACTTGGGTAGACTATGATTCTCAGTGGTTTGGCTAGATACTGGCCTGGTTGTTGATGTGATGTGATGTGATCACCTGACCTCCAGTACCATACACCTGCAGAAGTCTCTGGCCTGACACTTGATCTGCAGATTTTGGATTTACCAGCCCATGTAATGCTATGAGCCAACAGAAGCCTCAAGCCTACTGCCTGACCTACGGATTTGGGACTTGCCGGCCCACATAACTGCATGAGCCATTTCCTTGAAATAAATTTCTCTCAATCTCTCTCTCTTTCTATTTACATCTCACTAGTTTTGCCCCTCTAGAGAAGTCAACTAAGACAAACACCTAGAATGGTTTCTGGCACATAATAAGTGTTATGTGGCTATTGTTTTAAAAACACATTAAATATTTAACAAAACAACCACCATAATAAAGAATGCCAAGATGCTGAGAATTGATCTGTTGAGAAATTATAGAGACAGTTGAAGAACAATATAACAGAGCATATCAAACCAAACCAAACCCACTGCCATTGAGTCAATTCCAAATCATAGCAACTCTACAGGCCAGAGTAGAACTGCCCCATAGGGTTTCCAAGGCTATATATATCTTTAAGGAAGCAGACCGCCTCATTTTTCTCCCAGGAAGTGGCTGGTGGGTTTGAACCACTGACCTTTTGGTTAGCAGCTGAATGCATTAATCACTATGCCACCAATGCTCCTATAATGGAGTACAGTTGTTGTTGTTGTTATGTGCTGTCGAGTTGGACCCAACTCATAGCGACCCCTCCTTGGGTTGCTGAGGCAGTATCACTATAGAAGTAGATTGCCCAACCTTCCTTCTGAGGAGTTGCTGGTGGGTTTGAACCACCAGCCTTCTGGTTAGCAGTCAAGTGCCTTAAGCACTATGCTACTAGAGCTCCTATAGAATACAGTAGTAGTAGTATATTCATATAACATCATTATATGAATTATGTTATTAATACTCATTAAAAGACCCTGGGTGGCATAAAGGTTTAAGTTCTCAACCACCAGTTGAAAAGTTGGTGGCTCAAAGCCACCCAGAGGCACCTCAGAAGACATGTCTGGAGATTTGCTTCTGAAAGGCCACAGCCTTGAAAATGCTATGAAGCTCTACTCTGCATACATGGGGTCTCCATGAGTCAGAACTGACTTGATGGCAACTAACAACAACAACATTATACTAATTATATATATTATATTATAACATATTATAATGATACAATAATATTATATGGTAGTATAATAGAGAAATTACAGAATAGTATTAGAGATGACATGAAACATTCTCATTAACTGTTGGAGAGAACCTAATTTAGACATACACTTTTTTTTTTTTTTAGGATTTGGGTGAAGATTTACAGAGTAAATTCACTTTTCATACAGCAGTTCACATATACTTTGTCTCATGTCATTGACCAAAA